TTTGTATTTTATGAATATTTTAGTGGCTCGTATTTTAGAGACCAGAAACTTGGCCGTGATTTCTCGACAAATTCAACTAACGTCAGCCGCGATGAGGATTAATCGGGAAAAGGTCTGATTCACGTTTTGCCTTTCTGTGACGTAATAATGCGCGCTCGGTCGCATCCCACGGAAACCAGGCTGATACGGCGCCAGCTGATATCGAACAGTCAGCCGAGACACGCGAAGACCTTCACTCAGCTGTCTCGTAGTTCGATACGAAGAAACCGAATTTTTTTCTGCCGGATATAAAATTAGACGATTGCACTCCCATAAAAAAGATTTCTAGATCCTATGCTTTAACTTGTAAAACGAATTAATTCCAACACCTAATATATATATATAAACAATCATACTTGTAATTAACAGAAGAATATTTTACTCTTAAAAGGAAAATTCTTATAAAATAAAATAATCTTGAAGATCAGTTTTGTACCAAATATTTGGAGCCAACATAAAAAAAATCTTGCTTACATTTTGAATATTCTTTTAAATAAGATTGAATACGTGCGTGTCTCAAACTTAAATATATCAACAGTGTTTCGTCAACAACTGAATTTTATTCAAACCGATTTACAATGAATTATCGTACAGTTTCATTGAAGTCGGATAATTTGCAAGTGCATGAATCTAAGGGATTTATTTCGTTTGCATTATGCATAAATTGCATTTGTCGATGAAGCAAGGATAAAATTTGAATGAATGGTGATTATTTGGTGAGCAAAGGTTTATTCGTTATTGACAAAATTAAATATAGAGGAGCTTAAGCTTCTTATTATGAGATAGGTGCCTAATATGAGATAGTAGCATTTCTTAAACTGATGAATGCTATCTATTGGTTCCACTATGAATTTATTCTTGGATTGAAAACTATTTAAAGGGAAATTCATTATTAGATTATGCCTATAGTCATTGTAAAAAAAAAATTTTAGATGTCTTCATTGAGATGAGTCTTTAAATCTTGTTTATTATTTAATAAATAAATATTTGGCAATAAATTCTTTATATAGTAAAATTGTACTAATAGAAAAAATACGGGTTGAATTGCTTAATTACAGAAATTAGATTTGATGATCCTAAAGCCGTAAAGCGTGGAAATAATATATATCCATACATATGATCCACATATAACTTATATATAATTATAATGGATCATATACGATTCAGACAAAATCCATATATAATTATATATGAGCGATTTTTTCCCGGGTTATATAAATGTTAGGGTATTTCTAATATGAAATAATCTATGTTTCTATGTTATAGAAAATCGTAAAGTATAAATGTTATTGTACAATAATAAAAAGGATAACCGGAATGAACATCAAGTGCCTATTTCTGCGATATTTGGTTGCAACTGAAGACAAGTTCTGGATATAATCCATCGCATATTTTCACGTATGCTGACTGTGTTTATTTGTATTTTAGAAACATTAAATAAAGTTTTTTTTTTAATTGCAGTACTGATGTACTTTGCATTTTATTATCGATTTCTCGAGGCATCCCTCATTAAAAGCACAATTTTTTTACTTTGCGATTTGCTCACTTTTTACATTTCTTTAATTTAAAAAAAAATAGAATTTTAATTAAATTTACATAACTGTACATATTAGTTTTTTAATTCTGCTCATAGATTTCTAGCACTTATCCAAAATGAACTCGGTATCTGATAGGAATCTTCCTTTTACGTATACGCTATACATGCACAATTAAAATACAGAAACGCACGCATTGAAAAAGAATAAGAGAAATAAAAATCAAAGAGAATACAAAAAAAAACACTGCACAATAAATAAATAATAAAAATCTACGTTGCTAATTAAAATTTTGCTTTTATTTTCTCTAGATAAACAAATTATTTTTTCAGAGAAAACAAAACAAAGATTTCAAATTTCGAGAATTTAAAGTTCTCCCAGAATACACACTACAGGAACACACAGATAATGGTGTAATTAGAGAAATGAAATATTTTTAGAAAAAAAAAAGAAAGAAAGGAAGATGGAGGAGTAGAATCATTACGAAGAAAAATAGAGCAGAAATGATAAAAGAGGGTACAGTGCTATCATTACAAGAAAAGCGAGATATAAACAAAAACTATATTAAGAGTACGCAGTGCAAAGCAGAGGGGTGGGGGACGGGGGGTGAGTGAGAGGAAAGGGGTCGGAGAAGGAGAAAGTGGGTCGCTCGATAGCCCTCACGACGTTGGCACTTTCGTAGGCGCTACCCTAAATTTCAACAAATTGTCGGATATAGCACATTCATCCGTGATATCCCGAAAGCGGATTGCCGATGCCAGTTAACATCATATCGGCAATTACTTCGATCGGTGAAGGGAAAACTGGATGATTCTCACCGAACGAGCGTCCAATGATCGATCCTCGCTTCGCGAACGTGTCTATTGTAAGATCTATCATAGTATGATTGTGATTACACGTTATAAAAGCGATACAATTCGATCAGAAACGAATGGTCGACTGACCGCACGAAATCCGCCAGATTCGAAATAATTACGTCATCATGACCAAGTTACGCCATTTCGTCCGGATACTTTCACCTTTCACCTTTGCGCCGCTAAAGTTACGTCATCGACCCACAGACAATCCCGGGCTGGAGAAGATAACGACATCGCAACTTCTAATCGTACCCGGGAAAACGAATATCTATTGTGTATTCGTGGCTTGGTTTCTCGGATTCAACTTTTCCGCTGTCGCCGTCACCGGATACATATATCGACAACGTCGGTGCAGGAAAATGTGTTTAAAGTACGTCGATTCATTCGATCGAGGACGATCGAATTTAACGCGACGAAACCAGGCCGCGCTCCTGATGAGATTTAATTCTGAAAAAAAACTTGCCTGATTCTCTTAATTAAACGAACTGTCATGTTGTGAATAATTGAAATAAAATGAAATACGTGTGAAATAAGCAAAATTTAGAAATACTTAATACAACATAATACAACATAAATTTTTGTTATTTCTGTTATAGTTTTCTTTATAATAATTTTGCTTTTTCACCCTCCTCCCTTTTTCTTTCTCTTTTCTATTTAAAAAAAAAATTCCATTTCTTTAACTATAATAGCATTATCTGTTCCTATTATGTATTCTGAGAGAACTTTAGATCCAGAAATTGAAATGTTTATTCTGTTTCTCTCTGAAAAATTAATTTGTTTACCGTAGTAATTTTTCTATAAATGCAAAAGTTCTATCGTTCCAAAGTAATTTGCGATTAAATAAGTTAGAATTAAATATCAAATAAGATTTAATGAGATTATTTTATAAATTTGCTTATAAATAAATCTCGACAGAGAGAATTGTAATTTCTTTCTTTGTTCTTAAACGATTACTTTCGGAAGATTATTTCAGTGATTCGAAATACTTTTTTTTGTTGAAGTATCAAAAAATAGTAAATATCCAAGTAAAACAACAAATCACGATATAATGTCAAAATAACATTAAAATGCATCAGAAATGATTGAAAAATTTACTTTTAATGATCATTTTGGAGTTATTTTAACATCATAATGACTTGCTCTTCCGCTTGGATACAAATCTGAGAATAATTTTGTTGATCATCAAAATAATTACATGGGAAACTCAAGTAACAATGCTGCAAAAAATTTTGACTTTCTAACAACCAGCTTGAGTGTCTCATACAATTATTTTGATAGTTTAACAAAATTATACATTTTCACAAATCTGTTTCTAAATTTTTAAAGCAGCAAAACCATTTTTTTCGTGTAGCTATTGCGATATTTTTCTAGCACGATAATAGGATTCGATTTGACAATCGCATATAGTTATCTTCATGATCCGCTGTTCCGAAGAACCATAAGTGCTACCGTTGTAGGAATTCACCGACTAGTATCTTGCAAACCGTAATACCGCATATGGTACCAATATTACTAAACATTGTTTGCGACACAAAAAATGCGAAATCCATAGAATAATAATCTATAGAAGAAAAATAGAGAAATAAGCGGAAGAATGAATTATTTTCCCTCCATTCACCCCGAAAAATAGATGAATTAAAATAAATCGAGTATCATTTCTGTAAAATTAAGAAACGAAAATACCTCGAAGTATCTAAATTTTAAAGGATTTATCAATGATGTAAAACATTCATATTATATCTTTTCTTGATTTTCAATCGATCCTTGTACAATTAAAAATAAACGGCTATAAAAATATGAAAAGGAATTAAAAGTATTAAAACCAATCTCTAATTTCAAACATTAAGAATTTAGAACTTAGCGACAAATTCATTTTAAGTGACCCAATTTTCTGACTTGTGTATTGTCAGCATTTGTGTATTGTTAGTATTTAAATATTATAAAAAAACTAGTCACATAAAAGTATATTTCACAATTTCATTCATATAATCAATTCGATAACGCTTTTCATTATTCGTTGTCCACAAGTTGCAACAACTAATCTATCTATATACACAGTCATAAATAATTCAACATACAAGATATAAAAAAAAGCTACAACTTTCATTTGCTCGAGACAAATGCGATAAAATTTAGATAAAATATTGTAAATATGGCAAATACAAAAAATTTAAAGAGAAGCTAGTTTAACTGACGATTAAAAAACTAAACCTTTATTTATTTGCTCGAAACAAATACGATAAAATTTGGATAAACTATCACACGTATAAATCGCAAATCGTTACATCGATAATGCGCATTGCAAAGAGAATTTCTCGAAAATAAAAAGGATAAAGAAACCCTGCCAAAGTTGCAATAAGAGTAGAATCTTTGAAGACTGAATCTCCATTTTCATCAAAACTTCCTTTTCATACAATGTTGAAACTTTTTAAAATGTGTAACAATTTTTTACTTTCACGTGATCCTTAAAATATTAAAATAGACCTGATGATTTCGAGATTACATATTTTGAATGACATAAAACTTGAGGGAAACAAAGGATTTAATTTTGCCTCGAGATTAATTCGCAAAAAGTTAAACGTCTTCTAAGCTTTTGTGTTGTCTGGACTTTTATAACCCCGTGACAACTAATTTACGACGATAACTTTCCCTGCCATCACCTCTACGCCGCATTGCGCCCGTGATGTATACAACTCCTTTCCTCACTCCAATTCTGAATAAAGTGCACGAGGTCATATTATCGATCGTTCCTATGCTTTCGGACGAAGCAATGTTCAAAAGTGGCAATTTAGTTCGATTTATATCAAATATATGGAGTTCTCTTGTCCGTTAAGTTCGAGCGCGCAAGGGCACTACTTCTCGCCTGAATTTCCTGTTAAAAGTACGAAGTGCCTGTTGAAACCGTGAACATTTTCCTGGGAAGTGTTGCCGTCAGTGAAACTTCTCTCTAAATGTTCGTCGAAACAATCTCCTATATTTCCCCAGGAAATGCCGCATTGATGGAAACTATCGCGAGTTAGACAATGTAAAACTGACGTAAGGACTCATTCTATTGTACAGGCATCTTGAATCTTTCAACATCTTTCAGCGTTATTCAAGAAAGTTAAGTCCATGATCGAAATTTTTCTGAAAAAAAAAAAGAGTGCAAATGAGATGACTATAATTAAGAGAAACAAATGGCCTTTAAAGGAACGTTTGAAGTATTTCATGAAGATTTTACCAAATATTCGACAGGGTTAAAGTTGCTAATGTAATTATAATAGTTTTCAAATATATAATATATTATATATTTATAAAATTTATATTAAATAATTATTATATAATAAAATTATAAATAAGCTAGAATTCTATAGATATAATTGATAAACTAAATATTAAAGTTTGATTGAGATAAATCAATACAATCAAATAATAGCTAACACTGGATGACAATGTGAAGTTTGTTTTATTTAAATTAACAAATGAAATTAATAATGAAAATCGCAGACGTTTCGATCCTGTTTTGACTCCTTATCAACGCTCCATGTAAATTGTTAACAAAAATTTAATCATCTTAGAGTAATAATGTAACAATGATATCATCGTACTTGCTGGTACGCTATAAATTTATCGAACGTTATCTAATAGAATATAAAACTAATTATCTAACTTACATAATCATCGAAACATTATCAATTCATGCATTGAACATCGAGTCTCATCTGAGACAACAATACGAGACGCACAGTACAAACATATAAAATATAAAATATAGAATAGAATGTGCACATCATTTAAACATAATTATGTTATCATAAGCTTTGTCCAATAATTCCGTATCATTCTGTAAACCATTAATTTTGTCGTTTGATAAAAGTAGTTTCTGAGTTCTCTTATTCAGAATTTTTTCCTTATCTAAGATGTGTATATTGTCCCATAGATCCAATAGAATTCATGAGAATATTACAATCGATGTTCCATAATAACTTACGTGGTATTCCAATTCATGAGACTCGACGTTCGACGCATAATAATGGTTCAATGATCATGTAAGTTACATATAATTATTTTTACGTTTATATTCTATTATGTAACGATTCAATAAATTTATTATATAGTATACCAGACTGTACGGTGACATCACTGTTACATTACTCTAAGATGATTGAATTTTTGTTAACGATTTACATGGAGCATTGATAAGGATTCAAAATAGGATCGAAACGTCTGCGATTTTCATTATGTTAATTTAAATTAAGCAAACATTACATTGTCATCCAGTGTTGGCTCGTCTAGAATTCTATAAATATTAAATATAACAGTAGAAAAGTAGATTTCTAAAATTCTAGTAAAATAGAAGTAGTAAGTTCTATTCTCGACTAGTTCTATTCTCTTTATAATAATATGCTATTAGGTGTTGGAATTAATTCGTAGCGTTTTACAAGTGATGGGAAGTACTTTCATTAATGTATTTTTTAATGCTCATGTGAAATAAATAACATTCTTTCATTAAAAACGCTACGAATTAATTCCAACACCTAATATTATAATAATATACTATTATATAATAGCTCGATATTTTTAAAAACAAAGTAAAAATTAATGCGTTGCTCAAAGAGTTTTTGTCTGTCCAAGATTGTTTTCTTTCCAGCTACAAATAAAAATCGTTAGTTGCGTTATTTTATCCCCTATCGATACTTTACATTCATCATAAGATATAAAAGAAATCGAGTGCGGAAAATGATAAAATGGGGAAGATCTTCCTTAAAAGGAATCGCGCAAATTTCGATCGAGATCCAAGATCCCTCGTTACTTCAATTGCTATTATACCGTACTTCACGAACAGGATGATCCGTTCCGGGAAGACTTTCCACAAAAAAAACAAGCCCGTCGCGATTGTCGAATGCTGAGTACGATCGGCAACTTACCACGATCGAAAGTGGCCGCCAGGACGACGAAGACGAGGCCGATGATCAACGCAGCTTGGTTCGCGATCATGGTCATCGCGATCGCCGGACCATGTGCTCGTGGATCTAATCGTGCCGCGGCGCCCGCGACCGTCGCATGAAGGGTGTCCCAGTCGTCGTCGTCGCCGTCGTCGTCGGGGAAAAGATCGGACAGTGCGTGAATATACGCGTTCGCCTCTCCTCCTCGTCCTCCTCGTCGTCGTCGTCGTCGTCGTAATAGCAGTCGTTGTTATTGCCGTCGTCGCCGCTTCCCGGTCGGGATGAGAGCGCGAGACTCGATCTCCGTTCCCTTCAGGGACGGTGATCCGTTCTCGGGTCGCGCGCCGCGTTCACCACCTCACCCGGACGCATAGCAACTGACTGACGCGCGTTACGCGACCGAGTTACCGAGTTTCTCCGGAGCACTCTATATCCGCACGCTATGCGGCAGATCCACCCCCTCGAACACCCGCGATGCGCTCGCCGCCGCCACCGCCACCGCCGCGTCGCGCCGGTGCATTCGTCGATGGTGCACCGATGCCGTGCACGCGCCGTTTTCCTTTCCTCGCTGCCCTCCTCCCGCTTGAGTACCCTGAGGGTGTGCACCCTCGCATATACGATCGCGCTGGCGAACCTCCTTCTCCTGCATCGACGTTATTAAGAATGCTATGGATTCGCCGTGATACACTTTCGTTCGATCATTTTTAGGTCTCGCGTCGAGGATGTATAGATTCAGGAGATACAACGATATTATATTTTCTGTGATATACGCAAATATTATGTATAAGATATATTATAATAAATATCAAAGGTTGAAATGACAAAATAAAAATCAAATTGGAATATCTGGCAAATAATAAATTAGTACAATTATAAATTCCAGAATTTCCATAGTTAATTGATAACATTAAGTAATGTAAAGGATTAGACAAAAATTTTGAAATTTTAAGACTTTAAAGAGAATATGACGCTCCCGAGTTGAAAAAAATACAACAAATATATATTGTTTTTAATGTATCTTTCTTTTGAAAAATATTCTGTGTACGTTCTTTCACGATTGATGGTTTAAAACGCTTGAATTTTGTTAATTTTCTATATCTTATACATACCGCCTACACATCCTTTACAATGTTCTACGATATCTCGCGGCGGTGTTTCCGCTTAGAATTGTTGACTTCTCGGTATTTTATTGTTTGCCACGTTCAAGCACGTAGTGTCCTATTTCCTCGCTTTACATTCGTGTCTCTTATCTGAGCAATATCGTTTTTTATCAAAAAAATTATAGACTTTGCAAAAGAAGAAAAAAACAATCTGCTTTACTGTACATGCATGAGAAAAAGAAAATTGTTCCGCCAACCGATGTATAATGATTCTACAATTTAAATATTAATTTTATGAAATTATATTGTAAATGAAAGAATATAGTTTCAAGAACTATTAAGATATAATCAATCGCAGCAACAAATACGATATTAATATTATTTATTAGTTTATTATATTTAATTCATTCATTAATTATATAATTTGAGACTTTTCTATTAATTACAATACATTAATTATAGTTTTGTCTGCCCATAAAATGTGGTAATTACCAGGACATATAATTGGTTCTTACTTTTAGATCCAGCTATAATAAATAAATTACTGACATGTTTACATCTTTCTACATTCAAAAACACATTATTAATTAATATATTTTGTTGTAAATAGATTTATTCGTGTTGCTTGAAAAATTTTAAAAATGTTGCACTTAAAACAAGATAAAATTTATTCAAACATCGCAAAGAAAATAGAAAGAAAAAAAGAGAGCAATATTTATTTTTTATTACGGAGATTATAATTATAAAACATTACAATTAAAATTACAAACAAATTGTAATTTTAATTGTAATGTTTTATAATTGTAATCTCCGTAATAAAAAATAAATATTGCTCTCTTTCTTTCTTTCTATTTTCTTACAGCGATTACAATTAAAATAATACAAACAAAAATGAAGAAAAAAAATTAATCAAATATATAATTATAGTCATTACAGATAAATAAAGAAAATATAATAGATAAATAAAAAAATATAACATTGGGAATACAAATAAGTTTCCGCCGTTTTTTATCAAAAATTAAGCATTTATTGTGAAAGAACGGTACATAATGTTTTATTCCAAGTATTGTCCATCACTAGCCACTACTTTTTCCCATCTTTCTGGTAGCATACGGATACCGCGTTGGAAGAACGCTTCATCTTTTAAGGCTATCCAATTATCGATCCAATTTTTGATATCTTCATATGATGTGAAGTGCTGCTCAGACAGGTCATGCGTCATCAATCGAAATAGATGGTAATTGGAAGGGGCAATATCTGGTGAATACGGCGGATGGGGTAAAATTTTCCAATTGAGTGTTTCTATGTAGTGAGTGTTTCTTTTGACCGGCGCCGCAACATGTGATCGAGCATTATCATGCAGGAGAATAATTTTGTCATGCCTGGAGTAGTGGGCGCGTTTTTCCTTGAGTGCTCGGCTCAATCTCATCAATTGTGTTCGGTAGAGAGCCCCAGTAACGATTTCGTTCGGTTTGAACTCATAATACACGACACCAAACTGATCCCATCAAATACACAACATGAGTTTTTTTCCATGAATATTCGACTTGGCTGTCGATGTTGAAGCATGGCCAGGTGATCTTCTCCATGATTTCCTCTTCTTTCGTTATCGTAGTGGATTCATTTTTCATCATCAGTGACCATATGATGTAAAAAACCCTTTCGTTTATGCCTGACAAGCAGCATTTCACATATGAAAAATCGGTGTTCAACATTTCTCGGCTTCAGTTCATATGGAACCCAATTCCCTCGCTTTTGAATCATTCCTAATGATTTCAAACGAAATTGCTTGTTGAGTCGCTCCTAATATAAGTGCAAGTTCTTTTTGCGTTTGGCACGAATCTTCATCCAATAATGCTTCCAATTCCGCGTCTTCGTACACTTTCGGCCTTCCGTTACGTTCTTTGTCTTCGATGTCAAATTCACCGTTTTTAAACTTTTGAAACCACTCACGACAACTTCTCTCACTTAAGGCAGCCTCATCATTGCTTCTACAAGCAATCGATGAGCCGCAGATTTCTTCAAATTAAAGAAGTAAATCAAAAGTTCGCGCAAATGACGCTTATTCGGCTTAAAACTCGGCATTTTCGCACAAAAAAAAAAATATATGATGCTGATACAAAATCGCTATATAAATAAAAATATTGGGTCATCTAAAAAGTATCCGCGCACATCTAGTGACAAAAAACCGCGGATACTTTTTAGATGACCCAATAGTAAAATTGAAAGCGAAAAAATGAAAAAAGACAAAGAAAGAGAAAATAAGAAAAAGAGCGCAATTTTAAAAGTTTGTTCGTTTTTCTTGTCTAAAGTTCAAGTAACACGAACAGACTTTTTTTATCGATTGGACTAGGGAATTGAGCCTTAAACAGTCTAGTGTATTTACCTGTAGTCCGTGTTCTAGATAGTTTTCGATTTCACTCGTTGGCAGCAGTGTCGACGATTGACATAAGGGGGAGGGCCAACAAACGGAAAACCTGTTGTTCGCGAACGAGGAATTGGGGAATGTAGATACGCCGTGAACGTAAATGCCATCATGAACACCAAAAGAAATCCGCAACATGTGTCAAATTTGTACAACGGAGGTAATCCCGGTACGTTTGTGCTTCGTCTCCGCAATATCTCACCGAATTACATCCGCGCGCGCGTGTGCTAATCGGAAAAAACGCGCATACGCGATTCATCCACAGACAGTAAACTGAAAAACCGTCTGCTGGGCGTCTTTATGGCGTCTGCTATTACACGAAAACAATTTTTCCTCGACGTATGTAAATGCCAGCGATGTTGCTTCATTCCAGATAAATGTTATCCGCAGACGCGAATATTGCACGGATTTTAGTGTTTTATAATTGAAATATACATTTCTTTAGGTGTGATTTTTATAACTATTTTGATTACTCTGATGATGCAAAGAACTTCATGTTGATAGTAGCGTGTTGTATCGAGTGGAAAATTTATGTACTTATTTTACATTTTTTTTTTGGTACATAATATGTGAAATAAAATCTGTTATTGCAAAAAAATATTGTAATTTTATTTATTTATCATGAACGTTTTATAATTTATAAAAGTTTTCTGAAGATTTGTCTTTTATTTTTTTTTTTTTTAAGGAAATTTAACTTTTTTAGTAAAAAGATAATATTATATGTTTAATGAGATAAATATATAGATATATTTGAGAATAATTGTAAAAATTGTTATAGATACTGTAGGAAGGGACAGTCCATCGGCATTGTTGGAAGTACTTGCAGAAGTTGCATCTCAAACGCTGCATTCAGAAAAAAAACATATTAACTCAATGCTGACATTACAATTCAAACCTAAAACTGCGAGTATGAAACGGAAAGAATCGTGTTTTACTGTTTCTCAACTCGTATCTATGCCTGTTTCACATCTTGTTAAGCAATTTGCCGTTTTTACAAGCGATGAGCTCAAAAGACAATATTCTTATACTTGTGCATTAGTGCCTGGTTGCCATGAGAAATATACTAGTTTTGCTAGTGAAGAAAAAGCGAGAGCATGCATAAAAATTCATCTAGAGAAGCATTTAGAACAGCTAAAAGCTGATAAAGAGACTTGTATGTACTAATCAACTACTATTATCTCTTTATATCATCAACTTGTCATTAGTATTACATAAAAGAAATCTCTTATGAAATTGTTTACAATTGTTTAATATTTATTTTAAATTTTAAATTTACCATAAAATATATAAATGACAAAATGCTCCTGGAAAAAACCTTGGAAAGACTTACATACAACAAATTTATATTGTAATTACATATTAAAAGACTTGTTTTTATGTTATTATAGATGATACATTTACAGCAAAAAGTATAAATCATAAGAATCTCAAAACTAATTTACAAAATAAAAAAAGTCGGATGCAACAGATAAAGAAACCACAAGAAATGTTAAATAAGGAAAATAAAGACGTGATATTGGAAAAGCCCACCAATTGTTTACGTAAAATATTTTTGAACGATATTAATATTAAAGAAAATGAGAAGCAGAAATATTTCCAGAAATCGGAAAATAAGGAAGTGTGTGACACTGAATTAAAAAATATTTCGCAAATAGATAGTAAGGTTCTTGGCGATCATAGTTATTCCGAACGATTAGGTGATGCGACGTCTAATAGAAAAGAAACATCTCTTGGTTATGTTCCTGATAATGCATCAGGAGAAGAAAATGTTAGTAATAAACAATTTATAAAACTATACAATTGTGAAAAATATTTAAATATTACATTTGATATATGCACTAAATTTCACAAATATTTATATTTTTTCAGATTGTATTGATGGTTGTTG